TTAAACATTTACGCTTAAATTGCAAGCTTAAGGTTGGTCCTCTTCCCACTCTTCAAAGCACAAGAAATGTTGCGGTATCAAACAGTCGCTTGTTCACGAGAAGCTGCAACAGTTGTAAATAAAGTACAATTTGTGTACACGTTTTTAAAAGATATTCTAAGAAAATTGGGTGTTTCGATGTTTCAGTTTTGCAAATGGTCACGTCATTATTTAGAAAGAAGGCACGAGTCTATGTAGTTGTATTACGAGAGTTGTATTTCAACCTTCAGCTAAACTTCTTTAAACAGAACGTAGACAATAGGGCGGATAGAACGTAAATTCGTACCGGGTTATATTTTTACCTACGCCGTGAGAAACGGTTCTAAATGCAAGGAAAGATTTTTTATTTAAGAAAAACAAAAATGACACGGCAAATGAATAATGAAGGTATTTTATCCAGAGAGATAAATAATACATTAATTATCATATTTTAAAGAATTGGAAATGAAAAAGTGATATCCAGGAATTTGTCTGGAGGGACTGAGAAAATCACGAAAAACCTCATATATAATAGCTTGTCTCCGGACCAAGATTTCAACCCTGGATCTTCCGAATACGAAGCAGAAGTGTTATCCATTCGACGATGTTCGGTTCTACTATAATCGAAAACTTTACAGCATGCTGAAGTGAATTCCCGCAAAATGTTCAACTGACCTGAGATCCTCCGTGCGCATAGCAACGCTGTATGGTTTTGCCGTGACCTTCAAGCGTACAGTTTTGTGGTGGTAGGTTAGTAGGTCACAGAGTTTCGGACTTGACGTTTTGGTAAAAACGGTGGCCAGAGTAGTGAAGTGAAATTTTCATTTATTGGGGATTCAGGACGTGACGATTTTGAGATAGCTAAATTTTGAAATTGAACAACAGTCATTTACAGGCGGGCTTCTTCGTACGTAAGAACTTTGACAGATTCCAGGGTTTCCGTCCCCACATTACCCTACAGAGATACATACTTCATACTTCATACACTTCTTTAAACTAGACGCTATTACCGTTTAAAATTCCGATTGTGTCGGGTGTCTGCTAATGACGCACTTACTCCTCGTATAATCCCACGTTGATCGTCATTACTGCCCTACAGAACGTAATGCTAAATAATGCAACTTTTGCATACTAGTGGTTTTGAAACTTATTTTATGTAGAATTTATTTCAGGAATAATCCTTACATGGCGCATGTCCTACCACGTACGTGTATTTCTTAACAACGTAGACGTACATTTTACGTGTTAAAGCTCAGAATTGATCACATAGAATTTTCCCAACTTTCATAAGTTTAATGACAAAAATTATTTTAAGGGGGAATCAGGGCGACGACAGATTTCGTATGAGTGGTCGCACACCCTGACACGCGGTGCTGTTCGCTAAATTTACGTTACCTTAAAATGCAAATATGTGCATGAAGATAGCAAAGAAAATTTTGCCGTCATTTAACTTACTTTGTAAATTAAGAGAATGGTGATCTGGTTGGAGATTTCCCAAGATACTTTTATTTTAATAAATGTTTGTTAGCTGTGCTGATGATTTCATCTGAGTGGGAGGAAATAATCACGTTACACATTATAATTATAAAACAGTATAAAGTTAGCTAATAAATCCTTTGAAATAGCGGAACGAAGAAAACTAAATTCGGTAACGTGTGCTACTACGCAGTTCAGAAAGTTCTGTTTACCCGTCTGCCTAAAAAGAAAACACAAGTTTGAAATATACGAAGTTAGAATTCCTCATATTTCATATGGGTGTAAAACATGGCGTTTCATCCCAACGGAAGAAAACAGATTGAGGGTGTGTGATACAGGATGCTTAGTATAATATTTAGACCCAAGACGGACGAAGTAACAGGAGACTGGAGAAAACCACACATAAAGGAGCTCTATAATTTATAGTCCAGAGTTCACTCCCAAAAAAATGGATTTCCAAAGAACAGTAGCAAAGGCACAATTCTTATTAAAATGTTAAACAAATTTCTTTCACGTAACTTACATTTACTGCTTCTTATTTTCTATCAATTTCTTGTTTTATTAAAATTATGTATTATATTCAAAAATGTCTTCGGTAATTCTGCAATCTTATGTAGATTCAAAATGTAAACATGTTCCGACTTTTCAACATCACAATAATATTTAACCCTTTCCTGTCTGTTCATTTTATAAGTAGTTCTCTTCATGCTGTGTGTTCCAACAAGTGGGGCATGGTAACAGAAAGGGTTAAGGGACTAGATTAGTAGTTTAGGGACACCAACTGGATTTGGGCTTATGTGTATTTGCCTGCACTGATATATTTACATTGCCAAACCTAACCTTCGAATTTATTGCGCAGTTGTGAACAATGACTTTCAACTGGATTTGGGCTTATGTGTATTTTCCTGCACTGATATATTTACACTGCCAAACCTAACCTCCGAATTTATTGCGCAGTTGTGAACAATGTTTACGTGCTGAGTCAAACTGGTCAGAAAAGATACGATAATAATATTTCTGTAAATTCGTTCATACCCTGACTTATGTTCGAATATTTAGCTTCATTTAGATTCTTTAGTTTGAAATTTTTCTGATAGTCCTTATGAGGCAGTGAAGGCGTAATGGAGAAGAATTCCCAAGGGCCACAAAATTAATTTAACTTGATAAATATTATTTACACGTTACCTTAAAATGCAAATATGTGCATGAAGATAGCAAAGAAAATTTTGCCGTCATTTAACTTACTTTGTAAATTAAGAGAATGGTGATCTGGTTGGAGATTTCCCAAGATACTTTTATTTTAATAAATGTTTGTTAGCTGTGCTGATGATTTCATCTGAGTGGGAGGAAATAATCACGTTACACATTATAATTATAAAACAGTATAAAGTTAGCTAATAAATCCTTTGAAATAGCGGAACGAAGAAAACTAAATTCGGTAACGTGTGCTACTACGCAGTTCAGAAAGTTCTGTTTACCCGTCTGCCTAAAAAGAAAACACAAGTTTGAAATATACGAAGTTAGAATTCCTCATATTTCATATGGGTGTAAAACATGGCGTTTCATCCCAACGGAAGAAAACAGATTGAGGGTGTGTGATACAGGATGCTTAGTATAATATTTAGACCCAAGACGGACGAAGTAACAGGAGACTGGAGAAAACCACACATAAAGGAGCTCTATAATTTATAGTCCAGAGTTCACTCCCAAAAAAATGGATTTCCAAAGAACAGTAGCAAAGGCACAATTCTTATTAAAATGTTAAACAAATTTCTTTCACGTAACTTACATTTACTGCTTCTTATTTTCTATCAATTTCTTGTTTTATTAAAATTATGTATTATATTCAAAAATGTCTTCGGTAATTCTGCAATCTTATGTAGATTCAAAATGTAAACATGTTCCGACTTTTCAACATCACAATAATATTTAACCCTTTCCTGTCTGTTCATTTTATAAGTAGTTCTCTTCATGCTGTGTGTTCCAACAAGTGGGGCATGGTAACAGAAAGGGTTAAGGGACTAGATTAGTAGTTTAGGGACACCAAACTTTCAACTGGATTTGGGCTTATGTGTATTTTCCTGCACTGATATATTTACACTGCCAAACCTAACCTCCGAATTTATTGCGCAGTTGTGAACAATGTTTACGTGCTGAGTCAGACTGGTCAGAAAAGATACGATAATAATATTTCTGTAAATTCGTTCATACCCTGACTTATGTTCGAATATTTAGCTTCATTTAGATTCTTTAGTTTGAAATTTTTCTGATAGTCCTTATGAGGCAGTGAAGGCGTAATGGAGAAGAATTCCCAAGGGCCACAAAATTAATTTAACTTGATAAATATTATTTACTCTCTGTTTATTACATTTACTAAACTTTTAGATATGCTTAGTGCATAGGATACATTATTATGAACAGAACAATTTCTCTTTAATGCAGCATTTGGTGAAAATATAAATTTCACTATAAACAAAATTTAATCTCAAACAACCAAAAATTATATAGTCTTTAAAATGTCAATCGGCGATAACTTTTCAGTATTCTACGCAGGAAATCACGACTTAGGGTACAATTATGACATTATAATTGTTTAATAAATATTATTAATAATTTTTGGACGAAATGTATATATCAGTTGTTTACTCTGAAATACAATATCAACATCACGACGCACCTTCCGACATTTACTGATACATATTTTAAACGTCTATAACTGAAATACAATAACAGCATTTCAAAAAATGTTTTCTTTATTACTTACAGTTTATATTTCGATCCACGCAGGTAGAATTTGTTTATTCGTTTTCTGTTATTAAAACTTTAAAATCCGTAGAACGATAAATAAAAACTGTCACTCCACAAGGCTGACGGACGGAGCTAATGCTTCCAGTTCAACCTTTTGCCGACTGATGTGCCCTTCTAAGAGGCAGGGAGAAGGGGTAAGCTGTACAGACTGGCTTAACTAGTTGACAGGGCGGAATGTACAGTATGAATAAACATATGACCAATAGATTACAAAACCATGGAATAATAGACCAATAAGTTATAAACGGAGTCTAAATGGAGGAAAATCTCCTGCCTATGCAACGTCTTCATTATTTTATTAAAAATTACGTTAAATCTCGAAGTTATATTGAGCTAAGGGTATAGCTCAGGTGGAAGAAACAAGAAATTATATCAAATTTTTTGTGGGGTAACATATTGGAGAGTGAGCGCTTGGTTTACTGAGGTTGACAGTAAGTAATGGCGTGGATCTTTGGAGAATACGTAGTAAGGGTATCAACGGGATCTAGACACCTTCATACACATTGCTGTATTGTAGGTCCGTGTTCACAAAGATCCATCGAGGTTTAAGACGTCCTAGGCGATGCTTCCTCTGCCTCTGGAGTCCTGATGAGGACGCTGGTCTTCTGGGTTTTGGTGCAGTGTAGTCTAGACGGCACCAAAACCTCAAGAACAGAATCACCGCCGTGAAAATCGAAAATATCTTAGAGTTCATGTTTTCTAAGTACGATTAAATTCAAAGAGATTAAGAAAATACATATTGTACGTTCCCAGAGTTACGTTACAAACAGTAATTCAGCTTGCATGCAGATGAGTTTAAAACTCGTTTACAGAATGCAAATCTTGCTGCCAGATTCAGTACAATCTTTACTGCTATACGTAGTAAGTGAAGTTCATTTACTAGGTATAATCGTGGTCATAGAATCACATAAAGCGACGGAAGATATTAGGTAGGGAAGATGGCTGAGTCTCAAGTCCATCGTAGGAACATCTCACATCATTCGAAAGACGCTGATGTAAAACATAAAATACCTCACGCGAAATCTGTTTAACGCATGTAACATATATTAAAGAACAAAATATATTTCAGAAACAGCTGCTGCACTATTACCGCAGGGGCAACTTCTGTCTCGGGTACATAGAAGTAAATACCCTATAAAATGGTGAATATATTGAGTAATAAAAATACCCAGTAGAAACTTATATCGTTTGTTGATATGCCGCTCGGTCATATTTTGTGTGTTAAGTTGTCTTGTTTAAGTACAGATATGTTGTTGGGCCGATCTTTCGTCTTAAGAATTAATGTTGATTCGAAACCGGTAACTCGTCCGTAAAAAGTACGGAGAAAACTTTTCATGCCAATAAAATCTGACTTTATGATATTGACTTTTCAGGAGAAGCAAATAGTTACTTAAGTAACACAAACAGTTCTCTATAATTACTGAGTCTCAAAGTTTATTAGTCAAAAATCATGGGACAATAACTTGAGCCAGTTCAGTCCAGTTCACATCTCCATAACCGGTTTCTCTTAGCTCAATTTTAATTAACTTACTATTGACCATAGACGTCATAATTTTTCTACTCGTATTTCTTCGTAGGGTTTTACAACCAAAATGCATAATTCTTCTCTCCCCCCCCCCCCCCCCCTGTAACATATATTAAAGAACAAAATATATTTCAGAAACAGCTGCTGCACTATTACCGCAGGGGCAACTTCTGTCTCGGGTACATAGAAGTAAATACCCTATAAAATGGTGAATATAAGGAGTAATAAAAATACCCAGTAGAAACTGATATCGTTTGTTGATATGCCGCTCGGTCATATTTTTTGTGTTAAGTTGTCTTGTTTAAATACAGATATGTTGTTGAACCGATCTTTCGTCTTAAGAATTAATGTTGATTCGAAACCGGTAACTCGTCCGTAAAAAGTATGGAGGAAACGTTTCATGCCAATAAAATCTGACTTTATGATATTGACTTTTCAGGAGAAGCAAATAGTTACTTAAGTAACACAAACAGTTCTCTATAATTACTGAGTCTCAAAGTTTATTAGTCAAAAATCATAGGACAATAACTTGAGCCAGTTCAGTCCAGTTCACATCTCCATAACCGGTTTCTCTTAGCTCAATTTTAATTAACTTACTATTGACCATAGACGTCATAATTTTTCTACTCGTATTTCTTCGTAGGGTTTTACAACCAAAATGCATAATTCTTCTCTCCCCCCCCCCCCCCCACTCGAAGCAAAATGTTGAATGCAGCGGCCTACTACCTGGAGCCCAACAGACTCCTCTGGGTTATTCTTGTCATCCAATCACCCAGCCCACTTTTATTTCACATTATTTATTTACTAAATGTCGAAATATGTACGCAATTTCTGCTCTTTTACCAATTTTTGTTATTCAATATAATCTCTTTGTCTAATATGGTGAAAATAAACTTACATTTCTCTATGACCTACTTTCACCTGCTGAAGAGATACATTGAGTGAAATTAAAACACAATGATGACAGTAATTGTAAAGGGAGGCAGTCGTGGTTTCTTTGCGGGTTATGCCCCGAAATTCCCCTAGTAAAACGATGTGCACGAAAAATCTCAGGAGAGAGAAACTTACCCCCGATCGAAATACAAGTCTACATCTTCTCCGCCATTTTAGTCTGAGACATGTGTTATTTGATCAAAGCCTTTTTATGAATGCTTGTATTTTTATTTAATTTATTATTAGCAAATTTATTTTCCTGAATTCCGTATTTCATTTTTTACTTAATTTTGTTCATTTCACTTTGATTTCGTTTCTGTTCATTTTATAATTACGCAGAAAAAAATAGAGGTTTTGCCCGGCCATTAGTTCGCTTTATTTATTTCCTGTTTTAAATGCGTGGACATTTTTGAGCGGTGAGACGCCACGATTATAGCAAACCGATCACACTCGTAGCCTTTTCCTGTTCCCCGTGCAATGCGAGGTATTTCGTGGTGATTGAGGATGATAATTATTGCAGTGGTGTTTTTGAATTTTGCATTCATTGCGGAGGCTTTGTCAATGATCAAATATTTAAAGGCTCTAAGCAACTCAATTGTTAGTGCGATTACATTCCTCACACGGGACAGACGTTTAACTTACGTTCCGAAAACTTTTGAAAATCACATCAGGGTGACCGCATAGGGAATACTAAGCAGTCAGCGTCAAGCCTGAAAGAAATCTGAAGAAGGAGATGTATTTTGCTATGAGACCCCGCACACTGATTAAATGTTAAACACGATGAGACATGTTTCGCTGTTATAGAATCAGACCTATCTTTTCATCTTTTACTTCGGTTTCATGGCTGTTTCAAGTAAATGTGAGTCACAACCTCGTAGCCACGACAGAGTTCGTTAGGTCATGATCTGCAGTGGGGCGAAGACAGCAAGGACCTCTGAAATGTCTAATAATAGTATTTTTCTCTTTCGTTCTTACAGCTTTTAAATAAGGAATAATTATTTTGTTTAGTGTTCTGTCTGACGACAGGTCCATACGAACAGGATCCTTCCATCCTTTTCTCGGACCGGGACCTGTTCATATACGTTCTTGGCAGATGATCCAGAAGTGGTTTGCCATTGCCTTCTTCTGTGTGTGAATGGAGTAATTGTTGGGATGCCACGGAGGAAAACTCCGTGTTGCCTAGACCACGGCCTTGCCCAACACAAGTTATAAATTCGGGCACCGCCAGGAATCGAACCCGAGACCCCCAGGATGATGATGTATGATTTGTAAATATTGAGCGTACTCCAGAGATTACAAAATGCTATGACTGTACCGGTTTCAAAATCACCTTTTAATTATCGCCTTGGGTTTCCCCTTCATAATCCTTCTGTCTCACTTTCGTTGTTCATTGGAAGCCTACAGCATAAACTGGAATACAAGAGAAGACTGCCACTGAACCATGGAACTGAGACAGAAGACTTTCTATTTGCGTTTTTTAAAGTGTTTGCCGGGATAATACTGCTAACACGATTAACATTAACTCTCTGCCCTTGGATGCATCCAATATTTGTGGCTACTTCGCCTACTCTTACGTCAGAGGTTTGCACGGGCCGAAATTTCCAAATTAAACCAGGCCCGAGGACCATCTGGCCCAACTCAGCCTACGCCCAATGTTTATCTAGAAATTGTTTACCAGTACTCCACTCCGAATTAAGTCCGATCTGTTTGCAAGCAGGTTATTGAAACTAAAGTCCTCGATGTCGTTAGTTACAATGCTGGTAAAGCTGTGGGAAAAGTGAAACCCAAAGAGTGGAGCCACAGTGACTCTTCGGACATGATCTTACCAGCGAGGAGGCAAGTATTAGAAAGCAGGTGGTAATGGCCTATTTGTAAATATTGTCCCAGAACGAGTCGATAAGAACTTGAACAGAGGTCGATGCTCGAAACTTGTACCTTCTGAACTCGTAGATAATTCAGAGCCGTCAGAGCTACGCAAACCTCCTGGATGACTAACACTTGTGCCTCTTAAGCGTTGTTTACGTTCCATGATTGGCGAAAAACTCCTCATGTGACTCGTCATACAAATTGTTCTTTCTGCTGAGCGGAATTTCGTGAAATCTGACATCGAAACTATGCTATCCGAAGGTTGTCCAAATTCGTACTTTTTTAATTTCGTCCACCCTGTAAAACCAACGTGATAAATGTTCCAAATCGTGAGGTGGTGATAATCCTCAACCACGATCTTTTCGAAGACCGATGACGTCATAATGAGGTACCGTCATCCATGAAATTCGGTATGGTACGTTATACCACTGTAGGCTTCGCACAGACGTTTGTGTAAAAACGTAAATCAAAAAGTTAAGCTGTCCCACACTATACTCCATGTAGGCTCTTGGGGGGAGAGGTGGTATATCTCCTGCTCATTCTTGACCTCGGCTCTAGATGGGGGTGAGTGGTCAGTGCCACACCCCGGCCGCTTTGCCCCAGGGAAAGGACCCCGGTACCCATTGGATAAGAGGCTGGGTGAGCCCCAGAACCGGTCTGGACGCAGAGACTGGAGGAAAAATCCTCTGACCCCGTCGGTGATCGAACCCCGATCGTCCAGTTCGTAGCCAGTTACTATAGTATGTGTGCCTTTCAATTTCTAATGTCGAAACACCAGTGTCACGGATGCTGAAGTTCTTGAGCTGCTGCCACCTCCATCACCCATGATCCTCTGTGACCACTGGTAACGTCGTCACCTTTGATGACGTCACCGTCCATAAACATATTAACTCGCAAGTGGCTGGACGTATTTCCAGGAAATGTTGCATGGACCTTGTGCGTGGAATGTCGTACTTTCAAATTTCCCAAAATCGGGAATATCAGTGTGGGAGGATGAAACTCGGCCATTACGCAAACACCCATTATCACGCCAACTAATAATGACGTCATCGCCCGAGATGCCATCTGACCTTGAAAATGAAACGTGATATCGTCTGTGAGCGGTCATCTGTGTTTTTCATGTTGTGACAATCATCGCCTGTGTTAGTTGTAATTCAAAATACTCGTTCTGCAAACTATCTCTGGCTTCGCAACCTAACATTATGTACTGAGTTGTTATGTTACCGAGACTGCGTCGCTATAAATAATACCCAGCAAATATTCACTGGGGATTTTACAAGCAGGAGGGAGGGAGAGACGTCGAAGTGTAGACATTATTACGTTTAGTCGGTAGGTGTAGCCCGTGCCTATGTTGCTAGTGCGTTTTATTTGCTTTGGTTCACAAAATACTATGTTGTCTAATGTTATCAGTTGTATTAAACATATATGAGATTTGAGGCTTGCACGGCAGTGACGATAATTATGTTCTACTGGGTTTACGCACGGTGTAGACTGGTTGGTAGGTGCGAACGTTTCCATGAAGACAGAGACAGAATGTTTCTCCGAAACGATGGCGCCTACCAACCTGTCAATAAGGCGCCAGAACCGAGAATGCCTTGCCACCGTCTTTTGGGTTATAAATGTAACATATAAATTAATTACATGTACTCATAGGCTCAGTGGTCTAGGGGTATGATTCCTGCTTTGGGTGCAGGAGGTCCCGGGTTCAAATCCCGGCTGAGCCCTTTTTTTCTCTACTTTGAAATTTTTTATGAAAGATTGGTGATGACTTAATGTTAATTTTTTTTGTGTGTGTTTTGCAAGAAGAAAGAAATTTTACATTTATATATTTGGATGTAGATATTCAGTGGAAGGTGCAGTGTCATAAAATGTCGCGTTTCAACAGAATGTCTACCAACGCAAATATCGACGGTTTCTACTAGGTGTGACTGAAAACAAACAAATTCACTGTAATATCTGTTCAACAGAAGAACGACCAAATATCGCGGCCGAGTGGTTAGCACTCCAGTTTCATACCTGGTACGACACAGGTTGAAATCTCGGGCCTGGAGTGGCTATCCTGGGTTTTGTTGTGGTTGCCTTCAGTTTCTATAGCCAAATGCTGACAATGTATTTTGTATGACGTAAAAAATAATTCTTCGCCATTACCCACGATCCTCTGCGAGGACCGGATATCATGCGCAACCCCTCTCATATTATCCTTGCGCCTATCAAAAATGATTGAACAGATGTTCACGAAATTTGGGATGGACATTACAGCTTTGGCGGCTTCTCGAAAGCAGACTTATTTGCAACAGACTTCATAATTGATACTGAACCCGTGCTATGGGAGGTTGATTCGGCATCCGCAAACCTTCGGCGACGACTGAGGACGCCTTCTATCAATGGTCACATGAACTATTTATCCTGCACCTATCCGATATCATCCATTTACTTTAATGTCGGGTTGAGCCACAGAGTTATTAGCACCTTCTGCTCTCACATCAGCAACTGGGCCTCGCGGGGCACCCAGCTCTCACTTACGGCTCCACGTGCAACACCCTGAGGGTAGCCAGATATGGCGAATGTCTGGTAGGAGGCAGCAGTCCTATCAACACTGTTTTAAGGCGGTCAAAGAATGACTTCTATGTGGCTTGATGCAGACACCTCCAGGAGTGGTCAGAACGATCATATCGGCTGGAATACTGCGGTGAAGAAAGACACTATCATGTCACCACACGTCTGATAATACGTTGGATTTGAGAGAGAGAAACTTTAATCCCACATATATCGAAGAATTGATGACGTCATCATTCACTCTGCCATCTACTAAGAATCATTTGAACTATTTGCGCTGCAATCTCTCGGTGACATAGCAACTTAACGTTATGTACTGAACTATTTTGCGGTATTACCTTCAAAAGAAAGTCTGTTCTGTCTGAGGGAGTGTAATTAATTATTGTACTTCTATGAATACATGTGCATTTGTCTGTAAATGTACCAGTAATTATAGCAAAAGGAAAGTTGCTTCTTTAATCAATTACTGTATGTGCGTTTCAGGAGGCAACGTTAAGCAGTGTATGGCGTAAAGAACACCTTTGTATCTTCTGTTGACTTTCAAAAATTCTGGATCCATCTAGCAGCAAAAATACGCGACAAATATTTCTCCACCACAGTTTTGTCCTTGTGCTACTGGAAGGTAGTTTGCGATGCTCATTTGTTTTAAGTCAGCAATTATATAAGATCGACATTCGAAGCACACTGATAAAGCAACTTTTCTCTTGTCTAATTAGTTACTGACAGAACTACATTTCAAATTACGTCGAATTCTGACGTTCATAAGAACAAGTTGGCAGGCCTGTGCAGTGTACCGCTACACCTAAGTCGCACTTTCGCTCTGCTGTTTGCTCGCAGTTTTCTAACGGTGACCATACGGTTGAAAGAACAACTTCTGCTGCAGGTGTTCAAGGTAAGTGTTGGTAGAGGCGTAGAAGGTTGTCAAATATTAAAATCAACAGGAGATATGTGTTCCTTCGATCAGTACATCTGTGGCATTTATGAATAAGATCCCATAACAGTTTGATTTTCTCAAGTGTTGTATGCTCTACTCGTGGATCACAGACAGAGTCAGTTGCTTAGTTTATCTGCTTGTCAGTTCTTTTACTTAGTATTTTAGAAGCAGTGTTGTGGATGAATAATGATACCATGCTCCAAAGTCTTGATGGGAGTACCGGGATTATTACAGTGGAGTGGCTAGTTGTTGCATTGGCTCTGAATCACACTACAGGAATGCTTACCCTCAGGGCAAATTGTCATCGCTGATTCTGAATAGAAGTTTTCATGCTATATATCACGGGACACTCGTATTGAGAACAGTGAAAAATACTGCTACGCGCATGAGCTGAGTGAGAAAGGTCGTTTGGTGTGAACATCCAATTTATATAGCTCCCAGATTCAGTAATGGATTGTGAAGTATCAGGTAGTTTACACTAAATAAACCAGTTTTAGCAACAAGGGTCACGAAACCAGCCATGTCTTCAAACATCGGTCTCATCGCATCACGCAGATCTACCCATTTATCTCCACAGACGGAAAGTCAGATTTCGTATTTGACATGACTTCTGCTACCCTGACTGTTGTTAATCTTTTTTTTTTTTAGTTTCTTTTAAAACTGACATAACCTATGCCTTTTAAATTCTTAGAAATCATCCACAAACCAATCATTTTAAACTGTCGACGCTTTACAGTTGATAAAGCGTTACTGATTAAACTAAGAAACGGTAGTGTAAGATGTACGAAATCAGGATCAATTCATTTCTTTTCATTCCATGCCTACTCGTCACATCACACAGAACCTTTTTCCCACGGTCCATATGAACAGGATCCTTCCATCCTTTTCTCGGACTGGGACCTGTTCATATACGTTCTTGGCAGATGATCCAGAAGTGGTTTGGCATTGCCTTCTTCTGTGTGTGAATGGAGTAATTGTTGGGATGCCACGGAGGAAAACTCCGTGTTGCCTAGACCACGGCCTTGCCCAACACAAGTTATAAATTCGGGCACCGCCGGGAATCGAACCCGGGACCCCAGGATTACAAGGCCAGCGTTCTAACCGCTAGACCACCGTAGGCCTATCCAAGGTTATTTTAGTAAGGGAAACAGTGGTATATTTTGATTGTCAAGTTGGCATTCAATTCGAGACTTGCCGAACATCACAAGTTGCAATGTTGAAACAATGTGGGTGCGAGAGTTCTCATGTTGATTCATGCTTTATGAAGGTCGTTGATGTCAACGAATCCAGTCTTGTTCCATACATTTTTTTATTCAGAAACAATAGGCATGGTCAACAAAACAATTTTCCTGTGTTACGGCAACCGGATAGCCACTCTGTTTAGGATACTGTTCCAAATTAAATTTCCTCACACATGATTTGGTTTATGATTTAAGTTCTGAAACTCGCATATCGGTCTTCCTCTTTCTTTTGTTATTTTCTCTTCAGAAAATTCCGTACTATTAAACCCCCGTTTTAAAAGGCTTTCAATTGCACAGTCACATGAAGGTTCTCTGCCAACGTTCATTTTAGCTGTGCGTGTATTCGAATCACTTGTACCACGAGATTGGAAATGCACTCGGATCGTTTACTTTCTGGAGTTCAACGTGCTTCAAAATACGACCACAAATACAATCTTACACCATCTAAATATACACGTACAATGTTTTAATAACAAGGGAATGGTCCGGTTGGTCATTTGAAAACCTCACCTGCAATTTTGCTCGTCTACAGAGCCCATCTAGTAATGATTGTACACAAAATTTCAGCTGCTCATACGATGTGCAAAGGTGCGAAAAAATTGTTCAAAATTTGAATGTACAGTTAAAATTCGCGCCATCGCGCACGAGTCTGACGGCAGCGAGCCTAGCAGTGGCACGGTATTCGCCGCTTTACTGCGTTCCAGAGTTTTTGGCCGCTGAGCTTTGTGAATTGGAATCTCGGAGCGAGTCACATACCAAACGTTTGCTGGAAGGGATGTTTAGCAGGCCGCGTACAGTACACTCCAAATAAAATATCACCACGGTATGTAACATAGGAAAGTCGATATCACTACACTACACATCACTAGAAAATTAACACTGCAGAGAGTATTAGATAATTGTATCTACTTCACAACTCTTTGGCCCTCTTCCAATTCTTCCACTCCTCACTAACCTTTGCTTTCGGACATCACTCGCTTCATCTCTGCCGGTGTTCCTGTCCACTCCTTTATCTTCAATTATAAAGCGTTAATTAGCGTTTTTGATTATGACTTCTTGCTCATAATAAATTTGTTCTAGTTTTTTCACATGCCGACATAAATTCTCCCAATCCTCTTGCCCAATTTCTTCGAATCTCTGGCGACATAAATGCTCGACGTTCTTAATTTTAAAAATTGTGTTCTTGATTGCGACCCACTGAAAAGTCTAACAAAGTAATTATCTGCCTGCTTAATTAAAGAATATAGTACGATTTAATGCACTGAAACATCTGTTTTCCTTCGAGGCCTTGTAAGGTTCTTATGTACGTACGTATTTAATAAACTACGTGTGTATGTGTGACATTAGTTTCATGGTTAATACCGCGCCATTGCTTTGACTCGTTGCTGTCATGCGCGTGCGCGGTGTGGCGAATTTTAACTGTAACCTTGCACAGCGTACCAACAGTTGAAATTTTGTGTACAATTATTACTAGATGGGCTCTGTAGACGAGCAAAATTTCCGGTGAGGTTTCGACATGACCAACCGGACCATTTCTTGTAAGTAAAACCACAGAAAAAGTGAATCTTGTTAACTTATAATATTGTCTCCATTTCCTTGTTCCTTTGTATTTGTTCTTATTCTTTCGGATTAGGCCGTCACTGCTGTTCAAATACGGAATTAATTGTGAAACATTCAATCTGTCAGACACTATGGGGCTGTGGAGTAGGTAGCGGTCCGTCGATAAACCTTCCTTCACCTACACGGGAAAACGAAACACTGTATATAGCCAACAAACTCCATTGCCCCGAGTGGGTTCGATCCCGAGGTCTCAGTGTTATAGTGGCCCAAGGCTGTGCGGCCATCGTCGTGTCAAGTTGAGTCTGAAGATTGCTGTCTTCTGAGTTATTGTGCCTTGTAGTCTGGTAGATTTCCACCGACGTTTCAGAGGTCATACTGTCTCCGTCATCAAGGCGATGGAACGTCGGTGGAAATCTACCAGACCACAAGTCGTAATAACCCAGAAGACAGCAATCTTCTATGATTAAGTTAAGTAACCTTCTTGCAATGAACAGAGTTACTAAACAAGCGAAGAATTTGGGTGAGAAGGAAAAAGAATCATGCTTGTCAGTAAACAAGGATTTGAAACTGGACGCTCGTGGGTAACCAATATGGTTGAAGTTCCTTGTAGCACGGGATACATACAATACGCCTGACTGGAAACAAGAGAGAAAAACTGACATAAAGGTGGTCCATGAATCTTGTCAGCAGCTGTCCTCTAAAAATACAGTATTGGTAAGGTTGTTATTCAGTATTTCTAACACAGCGAAGACCAAATCTGCTCCGTCTTTCCGTAAAGAAGGTTGTAATTGCAAATTTTATTAACAGCAGGCCTTTAAATAATTATGGCACCGAACATCACCTTTTCCTGTTGCATAAGACAACAAACAAGGGGTCACACAAAGATCTCATTCGGGAATATTTGTAACGCTTTCCGTACGATATTCAACGCCCATTCCTTGAAGTGGAAATGAATGAAATGAGGTTCGCTTCTGTGAAGTTAGGTTATGTTGGGTCATGTTAGCTTGAGTGGGCTAGGTTGTGTGCGCGGTTAGGTTAAGGTAGGTTAGTTCAAGTCAGTATAGGGTACTTTATGTGCCCGGGGGTTGTCACCAGAGGAGGTGCCCTTGGGGATCAGGTGTGATGGGTCTTGAGTTATCCCGAGTGTTGATAATTCACCGCTGGGAGAAAACCTGCATGTGGGACTCTCCGATGGGTGGCGCAGATTCCGTTTGTGGGGCGTAGCCCTCAAAGTCGATGGCTAGTTTTCTATGGAGCGGAGCGTTGGGAGTGTTGGGGAGGGGCGAAAGAGGGTGGTACGTGTTATGGAGTGTACCCGACGGTTGTGAAGGAGTCTGGAGTCTGTCTCTCTGTGGGTTATGTTGTGTCAGGTTTGGTTAGGTTATGGTACATTACGTTTCGTTACTTTAAGGTGGGATAGGTTGGATATCTTTCAGGGTTTAATTAAAAGTGTTGAGGTTTTCGACAAATCTGTTTCAGAGGGGTGCGCGTATTTCGAAGTGAAGATTTGGAAAGAAAACACAAGGAACAACGGCTTTTCCGATATTTTATGCACTCATCAAATATATGTGGCCGAGGAAGCACTTTTTTCTGAAGGAAGTCCGCTTAAGCTTCTGAATACTTCGAAAATAAAAATTTCTTTTTGTAAAATGTCAGTGATCCGAACAGCGTTCAGATCACATTGAAGGACGGTTAATGAAATTAGGAAAATTCAGGAAACTAAACATTAATTTATATTGTTATTAAGTTTAATTATTTTTCCTTGTATCTTTGAGAGAATAAAAGTTACGTCTTCAGTGCGTTTGCCCATCATAGTTCGTTTTGTGAAATGTAACAAAGACCGAGTAAGAAGATTTTTCTTTGAATAGGCTCATTCAATAAATCGTTTTCCACTCTTACCTGTGATTTGTGGAGTTACCCTTTTTTTTAAAAAAAGTAAAGCAATAATATTCGAATTTAGATTTAGCTTTGTACTCTAATGTAAGACATCATTCCGTGTGCTCACTTGAAAGAGTTAAAAGTGAAAATGCAAAGTGTAGAGAATCAAAGTGACGTCACGTTCAGTACCATACATCATTTGGAAATAAGGTCATGTATCAACGAGACTTAAACAATCCTACACTAAAATATATTCCTCGACCGAATGTTCGTAAGATA